ATTTACAGGTTACCCTTAAGAATTTGGTTAAAATTCAGGCAATCCCTCAGAAAATCTCATCCCCAATAGCATGCTGTTCATAATTATTTCGTATTTTAGACAACCCTTCGGATAAATTTTTATCAAAAATTTTGATAATACAAGCCTTGCACTCATGAATTGTGAGCTGGGACTCCAAGAGCAAAAAGTATGTGTGACGTAATAATCGAAAGGGTGTATTTACAGGTTACCCTGAAGAATTTGGTTAAAATTTAGGCAATTCCTCAGAAAACCTCATCCCCATTAGCATGCTGTTCAGAATTATTTCCTATTTTAAACACCCCTTCGGATAAATTTTTATCAAAAAATTTGATAATACATCCTTTCAATAATTACGTCATTTGGCCTGGGTGCCTTGCACTCATGAATCATGATCTGGGGTTCCAAGAGCAAAAAGTATGTGTTATGTAATCATCGAAAGGGTGTATTTACAGGTTACGTACCCCCTGACAAATTTCGTTAAAATTCAGGCGACCCCTCAGAAAACCTCATCCATAGGGGTGTGTGTATATAAAATGAATGGTCACTAATAGGTGAAACAATCAAATATTGAATTGTCAGACAAATTTACTGTCTTTACTTGTCAAGGTGAAAATGTTGGGTATTAATATCAAAAATGCTTTTGAAAGATTATTCATGCAGTATAAAACAATAAACATAAATAAATACATTCAACGAAGGGATCTTTGACTTACTGTCCAAGTGGCTAAGTAAACATTAACCTAGCAACTGAGCCGATCGATCATGTTAAAAAAATATGTTTAAATACTATGATTTGACTATACCTAGAGGCTTCGATTTGTTAAAATTTTGTACTAAATAAACTACCAAAACAATTAAAAGGCTCATCTTACCTTTTTATCCAATCTTTTTAACTTCTTAGCCGTTGCTCTACCCCGCTTCGTCTTGTTTAGTATCTATGGCTATAGAGCTTAACCTTTGCTGTCGCATACGCTCCCGACAATGAAGCGTTTGTATTGTGTTGCTCTTTTCCATGGCATTTTTACAATTTCGTTGCACAATTATCAAAAAACAAAAAACATACGATTGTAAATGGACACTTTATCTTTCAAATCACACAATAACGAAAAAAATCAGAGCATAAACAAAAAAGATATAACTAGCCGAAATTTGTGTATTTTAGCGACTTCCTTTGAAACTTCGTAACTAGCGCGAATGCCCGGAAGAAGACACAGCAAACTAGAATAATAATGAAGTAACCATGGCAATAATGGGATCAAAATAATCCACAGAATCTCTTCTTTCACACTCGTATATACCTATATATTCTTACACATCCTACTACGGAAGCAGGAAGCTCGCGGATGTATATTTTAAACCATCTTTTAACATTCGAGAAACCTTTTGCTCAATTTATTGTTGCAATATTTCACCGCGACATTTTCGACGCTACTCTAATAAAATTGCGAGAATATTTAATATTGCAAAGGGTGGCGAACTCCTATATTAACTGCTGTCCGTAACACTAATACTGTAATAGTGTTTTTTGTAAATCCTACAAGACAAAGCGGTTTCAGATAAACACCTACAAAGCCAGCTTAAACAATGTGAATATATTCTGTAAGGAATTTAAATGGCTTCGTGAACGTATTTGAACGTTTTGAGCCAAACGTTGAAACGATTTAGCAACCTTTTTCAAACGTTTTTCTCCAACCGTTTGAACGGTTCAGCCAGACGTTTGAACGATCTCAAAAATCGTTTCAACGGAACGCTAAAGCGTTTAAACGGATAACGAACGGATAACGAACGATTTTTCAGAACGTTTTTCAAAACCGTTAACGTACGTTTTCCCAAGGAGGGTCACATATTGTGTTATCACATGCCAAGATGTAAAATAAACAACTTTAGTCTGAGCAATTATATTAAATTTAGAAAAATCTAGTGTGCCAAAATAATAACGTTGGCCTTATTATTTTTTAAGTGCAAAATCAATAGAAGACTTTTTGTTTTAAGTTGAAATTGCAATGTTAAAACTGAACGTTTATTTTTTTTTAAATCAAATCTGATACATAGTAATTATGCCATAAATAATCTCCAGACTGAATGTTGATTTTATACAGGGTGTATCAAAATAAACGTAATCGAACTTTAGCCCGCTATTGTATCCGAACTACCCTGCGTATGAACGAGATGTTTTGATCTTCCAAAAGATCATGCTTTTAGCTGTTGAATGATATGTTCTTCATGCCAAATGGACAAAAAGTGAGCAAATACAAACATACAAAGAACTTAAATACAAATTCGATAAAAAAATGTTAGTCAGATTCGCTTATTTTCAACGTTGAGAGTTGGGTCTAAAGCCATTGAAAATTAACCCCCTTCGGTACTTACTAAGTTGATGAATTTCACTTTAATAAACTGCGAACATATCATAATTATTATTATAAGTAGGAATAAATCTTACCTAAGCTACAACAAGTTCATCATTGACTACGAATTTCAACAATTCCTCAAGAGAGGGGTTATGAAAATTTTTAGCGTGTGCTTAAAAAATCATCCACCCCTTACCACCCCATAAATAATGGCCACCCCCTAAATTACCCTGTTTGAATTAAATAAAGAACTTAAAGTGTAAAGGAAAGAAAATTTATTTGAATACGGAATTGAACTTACCTAACAATTTGAATTTAATAAACAGTTTATCGGCAAATGTAGTTTGATTGAAGGAACATCTCAAAACATTTTACGAAATATTTTGAGTAGTTAAATTTTACATTAAATCAAAGCTCACAAAATGTAAAATAACATACCTACAGTATATATTTCGGAAATTCATTGTAGTGTAGTTAAAGTAATACTATGAATTTTTCAACTATTCTGTCGATTTATACCAAAAATATAAGAAAAATTGAAAATTAAAAAATTCGTGTTGTCATGGCAACACTTGAACGCGAGTCTGCGTACTTCATGTTAATTCAACGTTTGGAAAATATAGGCGAGGGGTTACTACATGCATGTATTTCTGGTTAAATGAGTTTTTTTAAGCATTTTTAATCTTTAGCAACTTATATGCGTGCTTTTAATAGTACTTCAAATCTCCATGAGAAAATTTTCAATTCTCTTATTTATTATGTATGCACTGAAGCAAGGGTAGCTTCGTTGAGACGGGTTTTTTTTGCTTCCGGGTTAAAACTAAGTCTGTCGGTTACCTTTTGGCCATTAAACAAGAAACAGTATTTATTAGTTGCAATCTTGACACTACAATATATGTATGATCCATCGGTCCTGCATGTCATTGGAGAACTTTCACTTTTTAGTAACGAGCAAATTTAATCGAATTAGAATGGAAACACCTTAACATGATCATAGATATTGGAGAGTCTATGAACTTCGTTGACGAAGCAACGTACAGAAAGGTAGACCAGCATGGAAAGCAACAACTGGCAAAAGCGGATCGGTACATGTATATTCTTATGGTTCATCAGTATACCCCTTCCTGTACTCGGAACGTTTGCAACTACGATCAGAACACCATGCACATGCGTCCACGACTGCCGAGCTACACGTTGTCACAGAAAATTATGGAAAAAACTCAGCTTTACCACAACCAAGCAACTGAATCTCCTTCACGTATCAGTAAACATCGTCTATGGCCGTAATCTTGATTACCCACCAGAGTAAGAGTGTATTTGGTGGAGTTGGGAAGAAAAGGACGGTTGATTAAATTATCTACAGAATCCCAAGCGAAACAGACACGACAGTGTCAATCCGGAACACCTTTTCCGGTACGGAATGACGTGGAGAAAGAGCCCGACGGTTAGGGAGAAGTTAAACATAATAGAGAATGTTGATGGCCCAATCCCATGGTCGTAGATTTTAGTCGTGCCAAATGATCTGGAGGGGTGACAATATTCGTAGATGTGCGTGAAGCTAACAGAGCGGTTAAACGATAGAAACACCTAATGCCCAAAACGGACGATTTTATCCCGTAGCCAACGGCGCGGAGCGCCGTTCCGGGCGCAAGCGCTGGACAAGGGTTCGAAGTCCGCCTGGCTATTTAGCCCAGGAGAAAGGAAAGCATCAACGATGTCTAAAGTTCATCAATTATCGTGGGCGCATGAATATGGTTAACCGTTCACACTTCGTGGGTGGTCATCCTCACTGATCTCAAAAATATGGTGGACTATAATGAATAGTGAACATTGATTGGGCAAATTTAAAATTTGCTTTACAACGACTAGCTGACGACGGCGAAATAACAAATAATTTTCGCAAATATATTTCATTTTTGCAAGGTTTTGTAAACTCCAAAACCTTTCAATTTGAGATTTTCATTAATCAATCGTTTAATAGAACACTAAAGGTAAGTCGTGGAACCAAACGAAGAGCAAGAAAAATAGTATAGTACTGAAAGAATAATAGTATCGGTTCGCAAAATGTACGGCTGCTAACAAATACATGCTGAATATGTTATGAATATGCAAAAAATGCAAAAAATGACTCAATTCAATAATTTGAGGAAAATAATAGTTAACGCACCCATAGCGTTTCAACATTTTAATTAAAATAATTCAATTTTTGTGTAAATTGTCAAACTTACTGTATATTTAATCAAGAAAAGTTTTACTTGCTAAAGAAATGAAATTTGATCATTTTAGGCATTGTGAAGATTTTGAGTCAAATTACTCCGGGATTTTTTTTTTGCAGTGTATACAGTGCATTGATATATGTAAATATACAAAATATATATCAAGAAAAACATTTAAGTATTAGTTAAAATACGAGCGACAAGTCCTTGTGGGCATGTACAAAAGCGAGTGCGTAGCACGAGCCATTGCAAATCCCATACAGACCTGTCACGAGTATTTTTAATGTGCTTGCGAAATGAATAAATTAAGCTTAATGAGTATTTGCTTTAATTGTTCGCGTTTCGGCATTTTTGTGCTGAGGTATTCAGTCGTTAAGTATCATGTCGCACTGATGAACATGATTCGCAACAGTTCGAAAAATTAACAGTGTACCTAGCGTTGCTCATTGGCTCAGTAAGTTTTCTTGCGATCCCGAAGCGGCAAAAGTAAATGGCGAACGTTATCCTCCAAAAAGTGTGTATTTGATTATGTGCGGCTTAATTCGTTATTTAGCTGATATAAAAGGAGAGGAAGGATTTAATATTTTGGATAAACGTGACAGCAGGTACACACTTTAATATCATTTTTACTTTATTACTATACAATTTCTTGCTAATAGTGGGTAATTTCGAACTATTATGCAATGTGAAATTCACACACTTTGATGAAATGTATAGGTTTAGAAAATTTGGAAGAACACTTGACGAAGAGACGAAAGACGCAACTAAGAGTGGAGTTGCTCAAGCTTCGAAGAGAGCAGCCAAAGCAGAAAGCCCTGAAGAATAAGAAGCGAAATTATGGGTTATTGCATACAATATATTGTTTTAATGGGAATCTCTTTGGCTTACGGGCTGGGGGGACATAGATTTGTACTCAGGCTAGCTAATATTATTGTGAAAGAGAATACTATTATTTTTGACTTGAAATACATGCATGCAACAACCCCTTGCCTATATTTTTCAAACATTGGTTTTACATGAAGTACTCGGCGTAATTGCGCCAACACTGAACGTAAACTCGCATTGCTCACTTCTTTGTTTTTTTATTTCTTGTACAATACTGCAAAAAATAGATGAAACTTAAACACTTTCAAATACTGAACTATCAATTTCTAAAATATATAAAGTAGAGATATTGTTAATTGCTTTCTATCGGCTTTATTTTAGCACGTTTATAGTTTATAGCACGAAAAACTTCGTAAAAGTTTTATAAATGTCAATTAAAATTAACTGCCTTTTGCCGATACGAGCGATAAACTCTTGAACTCGAGCTTTAACTTATTACTCGCACTTTGAAATGAAATAAATTTAATTCATACAGGACGCTAATAAAAAAAATTTACTTTCCTTGTATCATATACTTTTTATGAAAGTTAATTTAACTAAGAAACGTTTGCATATAATTCGTAGAAAACTCAAAGACTTGAACAACAAGGACCAAGTCTATATATTAATACAAAGTTATACATAAACAATTGGGCAAGTCATATTCCTTAGGATTTCTCATAAAAAATCAATTCGTAATGTTTATCTTTAAATATTGAAACAAGGTTTTCCAATTTGTTACGTGAATTGATTTTCCAAGCTTTCGTACATGTTTTTTAAAATATTTTTGCATGTTTTTTTTTATAAATATTTTTGCCTCCTTCACACTAGCTGGCAAACAGTAAAATTTTGAGATCAGTGAGATGACCACCCATACACCATGCGCACGCGATTATTGATGAACTTTAGACTTCGCTAATGCTTTCCTTTCTCCGGGTGTAAATAGCGGGGCGGAATTAGTACACTGGCCCCTGGCTTACGCCCAGAACTGCGCTCCGCGCAGTTTGCGCGAGCATGAAACTTGGTGTAAGACCTATCGAAGGGCCTAGATGATTTGAAAAATAAGCCACGGTACATTGAACACGAAGGACATGGTTGACTTACCAGGTATATTAGGTATGTCATACTTTTAACCCTCTGTAAATAAAGTTTATTGATTGATTGATTGAAGTTCCAATTGATATATGAACGCTAAATAAAATTTTACCACTTAAGTTGTGTGAGAAAGCAGTGTTGTCGCGGAGGGCGGCAGTGCATTGTTTAAGGATTCTTCAGTGGTGGGGTAAAACTGCCAAAGGGCCCATTTTCCTTGCCCTCCCTCCAGGATAGTATGCGATTGCTGAAGGTGTGAGCCAAGTACCGCAGGGACGAGTTAGCTAGGGGGTTGGAAGGCATCCCTCCCCCCGCAGGAAATTTTTAAAATTTGGGTCTCTCAAATAGCATTTCCTGCATTCTGAGAACATATTGTTAAATATATCTCAGCTTCTCAAAACAAAGTTTTAATGGTGAAATTTGTAATAAATTGCATACTGAACATTCAAACACAACATAAGTTTAAGTATGCTCACCAACAAATCTTGTTTTTTAAACTCGTTTTCAATATTAAACTTATTTACTCAATATAGATGCTATAGGTCCCTGGCTTTGGTGCAATTGGCCATTTTTTTTCTTTAGTGGTGGGGCAGAGGAAGGGGCCCAGTGTGGCAAACGCCCCACCAGTCCATGGTATTAAAAAATGCCTTAGAGGACGGCACACAGTTTAAGAGTAACGTGTGCGAACAGACTGTTTCAAACTAGGTTTGAAGAAAAACTAATCAGAGAGACAACAGGGCACAAATCTGACGCTTTGTTTCTTTATGGAAAAGGAAGTAAGAACCACCTGGAAACTGTTAGCAAAGTTCTAGGGCCAGTTAGTATCCCTCCCCAAGCTTATAAGATAGTTGAACTTATTGGAGGATTACAGATGTAGCCTACATGCAAGCAAAATACTGAGCTACTGTATGATTGTAACTTAGATCATTGACTTAGCATGAATTTCACAAGTAGATATATAGTGCCGCACTAAGAAAAGCGATGTTCTGTAAAGAATAAGCTTTATTTTAAGAATAAGATTACCTTCTAATATTTCAAGAAATACTTGTTTTTCCAGTCGACGAACTCTGCACATGTAATATCCCATATCCATGTATGCCAAGCTTGTTATGTTGAAGATATTCTTAGAAACCAATATTATCTTTTTATCAATAACTAGACGTTTCTCTTCAGATGCGCTGTTTTTCTTAAATGATAAAGTTACCTCTTCGGATGTATTAACAGAACAATTAAACAACAACCATTGTCCGGGGAAGCGTACTTTCTTTTCGACCTCTTTTCTTGGAATTTTCATCCACGATACAGCTGTTTTGAATACAAGAATCATTCGTTAATATTATGCACGTATTAAGCCATGCGTTTAAATAAAAGTACATCAGCAGCTTAGTCAGCTAGAACGCATTGGGTGCATGGGAACGCAGTGCCCATCAAGAATCAACCCCGTCATGGATCAGCGATTGGTTCACTTAAGCAAATAGACACAGAATAATCAAGTCAAGTCAATTTATTTAGCCAATAAAAAAAAATGTTTACAATATCAAAGAGAAAAAAAAAATAACATTTTGTAAGGCAAGGAAACCCAAAAGAAACCATAAGGGCTTATGTAATTTGGGCCACCTAGATCAAACTACAGTAATACATATATAGCAAAATTTTAGTGTTAGCTGTAAAAACATATCGAGCAAGATACAATGTGTAAATCAAACAAACAAACGAACAAACAAATCAGGCACTGGAGTATTGTTCTGTTTATTATATCAAAATTGTCTTGTTATATATACTTGAATAAAATCACGAAGGATTTTTGAGACAGTATATCATACACTTTATTTCAAATTTCTCTCCAAACAGGACAATTATTCATGCATGATTGGCATTCCACATTACCGGAATCTTTGGACCAAACGGCGCCCACTATTTGAAATATTTAAATATTTAACAATTATTCGCCGACGGCGAAGTGATTACCGGTGAATATTCACCGAGACGAAGTCGAGGTGAATATTCACCGTAATCACTGAGCCTGAGGCGAATAATTGTTTTAGTATAAATTTTTAATGAATAAAACAAAATATCCGAATATCAGTTCAATTAAATTTCAGAAATAAAACTGTTTTCGGCCTGTTCACTAATAGTGTTGCAGTGTTTCTTGTGCGCACACACTTTCAAAATGGCTTCTTGTGTGACTTTATTGCTTTATTACAGAGTTGTTTTTCTCGATTTCTGCTTGGAATATAAACACAATAACGGAATGACTCTTTCACCAGACTTATAATTAAAAATAGTTTCTGCATGTTTAGCATTAATTTCTTCAGGAAATGGCTGAGGAATTTGGTAAAATGAAATGTAGAACTATATCGTTCGAAATAAAGTTTTAAGAACACTTTTTACTCTACAAGTTTCGAAAACACAATACAGCGGTCAGAACATCATAAAGCATAATGAAATCATGACATATCAAAAGAAATAGTATCGTACAAATTGGGAAATCTATAGCGTATACAAAATAAAATGGATTTTAAAGAATATCACGGCAAGGCTTGGGTCATTTCATTTAATATCCCCCCCCCCTCCCCCCCCCTATGGACGAGAATTTCCTAGGGGGGTTGAAAAAGCTATTTCTGAGGGGTTGTGTGCATCGGCATCCTTTGATCTTTGCGTTTTCTCTGAGGGCTAAGGCAAAAATTTCTTAATTTCGGGGGGGGTGTTTGTGTCGGCACTTTGATCTTTTTTTCTTAGGGGTTCAAATTTTATTGACCTCGTCGATAGGGTGTACATTAAATGGAATGGCCCTTTTTCCCAAAATTCGGGATGGTTTTTGCTATTTGTTTGAAGTGAATGTTTCGCAGTTTTAAATAAGTTTTAAACGGTCCGTGAATATGTTTGACACAGTAAAATAATAAAGGAATCCTACCTTTCATGTTAAATATAATATTTGTGTTCCTTTCGTTTTCTTGGGACGATTTTTTCAATATTTTGTCGATTTTGAAACCACTTTTGCCGAAACATTCTTTTTGAAAAGCATTATTTACTAGTCTGGTAGTAAATAATGCCTCAGATTTACTAGTCAGCTAGCCAATCAGAACGCGCGAAAGCTCATTTGATATGCAAAATTTATACTAAAACTCCTTATTCAATATATTACTATGGTTTTTATTATAATATAATGAATCAGTCATTATTAATGATGGGAGATACGTCGAATAATCTTTCTCAACTTGTGTTATTTTTTTCATGCCCCCTCATCTTTTCCAAATAATTTTTGAAGACTCACCTCAAGGATATTATTTATTTTCGTAGCTACTACCC